AAATTGAATTGAATGGAATTGAATGTCGGCCCTGTGAGGTGGTCAGTGACTGACCATCCTCCATTTGCAAAGAATAAGATATACACTCATATAAAATGGGTGTTTCATTTAAACCTTTAAATGGCATCACTCATAGCAAAACACAACATATCACTGTTGTTGTGTGAAAACCAATTTGAACACATTCCAGTTTCAGTGCAGTAACTCAACTCATATCAACACATAAAAATGTGTTAATAACATATATACGATGACATATAAAAAAGCAATATAATCCCAATCTGGACATGAAGGTGTGCTGAAAATGCTTTAGTGCTGCTATCGTGTTTGTACACTGCTGCTTTCCTCTTCGTAACAGTAAATAAGTACACAACAAAAGAAGATGATATCAGCAGACGGTTGGAGCCATATTTCATTCAGGATCTGGCAACTTCAGATAACGGACCAAGGTTGTTTAAAAAATGCTCTTTTTCCATTACTAGCTTTATAACAAGGGAACAAAGTTTTATGAAAGACACACAGGCCTTTCAATAATAGCTACCCAGTAAGGTGTAAGCCTTTCTGCTGTGCCCCTAGATGTAGCTTGTCGGTTTTAACCAGCTGTTACTCATTGTGAGTTTTTTTTTTATCTGAAAAACCCTGTATATATTATGTATAATTGTATCATGTACTAAGATAAATGTGTATCTACTGCTATACTGCATTTTAAAATCTGAACATTATTGTTTTAGTATTTTAGAACTACAGCTCCCATGAGGCTGAATACTAATAAAATAATCATCCTTTTATCTTTGTTAAAGGAATAGTTCCACATTTTGGGAAATACACTGATTCTTGTGGAAAGTTGTTGAGCGTTGCTGTACGAAAAACATGAAGCTACTGCCAGGAGACCGTTAGCTTAGCTTAGCACAAACACTGGAAACAGGAGGAAACAGTTAGCCATGGCTCAATAGTTCATTCTAGCTAACAGATGCTAATTGAAGAGACAGAAGAGTCAGGACTTTAGTATCTCTCTTATTCCTCAGAAAGCATTTTAACACTTAATATATTGTATGGAAATTACCACCGGTCAAATTAAAAGGAAGTGGGTCAACAAATACA